AGAAACACGTAATTAGCCTTTACATATTGAACTCATAAATTTTACGTTTATTTTTGTGTTTCCTTTTCTTTTTTTAGTATCCAAACATCAGAACCAATGATATGAAAACAGAAATCTTTCTCAAGGTATATTCATCTTTTTATCTCAACAAAATTACAATTAGAACAATAAAATCCTATCTTTGAAAAGGAAAAGCCTAATATCCGACATATCAAGGTAACTTCAAATTGGTCAAAAGTAATCCTTCAAAAAGTGAATTACCTATGTACATTTTATCAAATGAGAGAAGCTTAATGCTATCATCCATACTACCAGTAAAGGAATGGGTGACTCCGGCAGTGAACCTGATGTACAGGTAAAAATGGTTAAGACAACTTACATTTTGAATTGATTATCTCATAAAATACAAGGAATAGAATAAAACACATGCGCTGACGTATATTAAGCTCAAAAATATGGGTAAACGAGATATAAAATTTAATGTTATTTATTCTATTTTTGCAAATAATGTTTGTATCATGTGTGTTGTCAAAGGCCTCGATGTTGCACGTTGTCTATAAGGGGATCTTAAACCGTTTATATTTATTTTCCCCTTCATTCCTGAAGTTGAAAGCAGAAGTACCACAGCCTAGATGGCCATGGTACAGTCAACTCTCACACTTAAATTCATCTTCACAATATAAATAGAATGATAAGCTAACCATTAGATAAATTAAAGCTGCAGGATTAGAACTTTATTAATTTGAAAACAGTGAGATCCAGCAATCTCACCTGTCCTTATTTTTCTCCACTATTTCACAGAAATCTGCAGCAGCTTCTCGCATGTGCAAAAACATAGGCAGTTTTGTGATATGTGCTAATTCAAATTGCTTCTCGAAATACCTTGCTTTCACAGATAAAAAAAAATATGATTTGTCGATGATTTTAATATATTACAAAAATCAATAAAAGAGAAAACGAGTATGAGGCATATCTAATTGAGACTATGGAGAGATTGCATACTTCTTTTGAATCTCTGCTGGGCAAAAATGAAGCCTGTCATAGTCCAATCCACATTCTCCAATAGCAACCACCTTGCATATAAAGAGAAGTAAATATGATTTGACAGTTATCTCTAAGTACTTGGGTAGTTTCTGAACTAGGAACACAAGTTCTGCAACTATATGAGAACAACGTACACAATGACAATGTTTAGTGAGTATGTTTATTACAAATGAGATGGAACTCAACTATGCAGATCTTAGATGTCTAGTTAAAATTTAGAGATGTTTGATAGTTGTCTTACCACAAGTGTATAACCATACCTTTCCTTTCTGAATTCCGTCTTTAGCCAAGGACAAAAGAGCTTGAAAATGCTTCTCTGGATCTCCACTCTCCTCAAATTCCTGAACCAATAGACTAAGTCATAGTTACAAACATTTCCATAGAAAAGTTCTTAAAGGAGAAAAACAACCTTGCATCGTGTTGGATGCACACCAACGGTGCAGAAAAGTCTTCCTATAAGTGATCAATAAATCATCAAATTAGTGAAAATCCACATTCTTCATTTGAAAGTCATCAAGAGAAAGCAATGTTAATAAGACAAACCATCTGTTTCTGCAATTGCAAGTGCTTCCCTTGATTCTTCAAGAGACCCACCAGTTACCTGCAACACAAAAAGCAAGTCCTAACTGACCAGAAACTATTCAAACATAAAACACAGTTCATAATTTATGTTATCAAACTGGTGTCGAAAAATCCTTTGTCCAATCAACAGCTTTAAATTTAAATACCCGAAGCATCTCTCGTTGTCCCAATTGAAACATATAATATCTTCTTAAACTTTCAATTTCATAACTCTGAATTTCTCTTATTTGCTCAATTAATGATTAAAGCAAAACTAACATTCGTAATAAAATTTGACATTACAGACATGAAAGGTTCGTTAAGAAAACATTACAATAATTCGGGTGACGCCAGCAGCCCAAGCCCTGTTCAAAACGGTTGCAATATCGGAGACGTGACATTGCTTGCCGTGGTAGATTCCCTTGAACATGCCATCTGCAGTTTTTGGAATTAGATAGAGAATAGGCGAATGACGAGCAAAAAATGTTTGATGAAATGCCTCACCGGTGAAATTGACGGCTATATCTGCATTTGTGTTCGTTGTAGAAAAAAAAAATGGTTAATTCACTTGAATTAGAATCTGAATCGAAAAGTGAGGAAGCGTGTTACTTACCTATCATTCGAATGCCTGCCATGATTGGTTGGCTTGCGTGCTCAACAGTGAGGAGCAAGTGGAGTTTAGTTCGTTGGTAAATGGAAGAAGGAGAATAGCTTTTATGTAGAATTTTTGCCTTTCTCATTGAATTTTAAAATATATTTTATTCATAAGCATAACCATATTTTCAATTAATTTTTTTTAGTAGAAAGTAAATATATATTAGTGGATGGATTTATAACAATTTACCATTCTTATTCAGTTAATCTAGTAAGACTTATTTACTAACTTCAACTCTTTTTATCCCATAATCCAACATTTTTCTTTTGTTATGTAAATGCGTTCTTCAATGCATATTTACTTATTTTTTATATCATAAATACATTTTTTATTTTCATTACTATATAAATTTTGTTTATTTATTATGTAAAGTAATTTAGTAAGACTCATTAACAAGTTAAGCATTCCTGCTTAAACAAGTGTTTATATTTGTCCTTAAAATAACAACTAGTAACCTTTCTTAATAATTATATATATTAATTAAGGAAGTGTGAATAAAATAAGTTTATTCAGTAACTAATATTTTTCACTTTAAAATATCTTATAACAAAATATATTATTTAAACAAAGTTTTAAAAAAAATTAGAAATTTATGAAAGTATTTTTAAAATTAGAATTATAATTTCTTTTAAAATGTAAGAACTTGAAATCATTTATTCTCTTTACTTGTTTTGTACTTATTTGTTTTTTATTTTTCTTTTCTTTCTTCTCATTCAAACAAAGTTTCATTAATCAAAATGAAACGTAGTTAGATTTGATTTTAGTCGAATAATATAAAAGTAAAATGTAATAGCAAGTATTTCATTTAAAATTTATAGTAAGATGACTAAATTTTCTCTTTAAACACAGAGAAAAAGCAAAGAGTCCTCATTGATCTTGAGTAAAAAAATATGGTTAATGTTGATCAAATAAGAACTTCTATTAACGTTAATAAAAAATTAAATTAGTTTATATCAATGAAAAATTGTGTCCAATATTAGTAAAATAACATGTGTTGATTGAACTGAAGAAGACATGACCAAACTCTATCATGTGTTGATTGAACTGAAGAAATGATCAATTAGAATTAAACCATTGAGAAAAAGATGAAAAGAATATACATAAATATGAAAAAAAAATTCTTATTTTTTTAAGTAAAATTTTTAATTTTATAAATGATTACATTACTTTCATAAATTTTAAAAATTTTAATTTCCATTAAACAAGTTATCCGTACAACCTAATTTATTACAACATTCCAAATTTTACATATCCTAAGAAACGGATGTAATGATTTGTTTTAAATATTCACGTAACTTTATTTAATTTTTAACTTGATTTCTTTTATATATATATATATATATATATATATATATATATTAAAATTAAAACTGATTATTTAACATATGAAAATAAATAAAAATTATATAATTTTTTTGGAAAAAACAAATTATTGAATCCGTTATCGAGAACAAGCCTATCACTATTAGAAAGTGGATCATGTTACTATCAACTTCTTTACCACCTACATCTCCTCCTCCTATTATTCTAGACTGTATTATTTTTTCTTCTCAACTTGTTTCTGTTGAACCTGTCACTGCTACTCCACAAAGGAAATCAACCAGGCCAAAACATAAATTATCTTATCTGCAGAACTATCATTGTAACATGTTATCTACTTTTTCTGTCACTCAGTCATCCACATGTACCCTATATCTATCTCTTCATATATCTCATATAATGTATTATCATCTCTTCATAAATCATGTCTTTAATCTTTCCCAAGTTAGTAAACCTAAAACCTATAACCAAGCCATCAAATATGATTAGAGGCATGCTGATGGGAGTATTGAACGATACAAGGCAAGGTTAGTAGCCAAAGGCTACACACAACAACAAGGCTTAAAACACATTTCTTAATATGGTATCAGAGCCAAAGGTTAAAGCCTATCCTAGCGAGATCTATGTGGGCATTCTGTTCCATCCGTTATCGGGTCACTATCGGACCACCCATTAATTCTACTCTCACGTTCGAGATGTCTATACCTCAGCGTGGATGATATGTGTTGAAAGTCTCACATCGACTAGAGATAAGGCCAAATTATAATATATAAGTGGGGTGCAAACCTCACCTTACAAGCTGGTTTTGTGGGGTTGAGTTAGACTTAAAATCACTATCTAATATGGTATCAAACTCATGGTCAGAATCTATCATAGCGAGATCTATGTGAGCATTCTGTTTCACCCGTTGTCAGAGCACTATCTGACCACCCATTAATTCTAGCGATTGTAGAGTTAAGTTAGGCTTAAAACCACCTTCTAATAATCACACTCTCCCGATGAATGTTACATATTTCGTTTTATGCTAAAACCAAACAAAAAGAATTAAATAAAGTTCAGGAAAACAAAAATGATACATAATTGACCCGAAGTTTTAATATATATATATACACACGTACACCACATGAAATATATATCCAAGGTAAATCATAGGTCACGCCTACAATATATATATATACACTTGTTAACATGAACAACATCACCCCCACCGTAACTCTTTCTTCCATTCTCTTCTCTTTACCCTTCTTTGAAAGAGGCCAGGAGGAGATAAAAGGGCTTTAGCTTCAGCCTTCATATGCAAGTAAAAGTTCCATTGTCGGAAAATTCCTCAAACAGTCGTTAAACAGCGGCAAGGAAAAAGTATACAAAACGTTACCAAAATACATATACGATCACAGAATGAAAGCCATTTTTACATGGGAAGAAGGTCAAATGAGCTTTGACATCTCTTCACCTTGCTACCACTATCAATGATCACACAGTTTGACATGAAAACCTGATCAACTTCTGAAAACAATGGGGAGAACTATGACCAAAACGATAATGAAGAGGAGTATGGCAAAGCAGGTCAAGTTACGGGTGTTTTTCTGATGATTCTTCACAACCTGCAAATGATGCACACCTTTGATGACGGAGGAATTTGCAAGCGCCATGTGGCTCTCTATGTCATCCAAGTGTTCACCCTGATGTTGGACCAACACTGCCATGTCCAAGAACACTTGGTGCAGCTCGTGTAGACTTCTCTCTATCTCTTTCACCGTGCCGTGCCTCTCCTGAATCTCTTGGATGGTGTCCATGATGCTGGCTCGCCCTTGCTGTTGGATGGCTTTCTGTAAGAAACTTTCACTCTCACCTGCTCCATCGCAATGTCATCACATACGTGTCTCATGGTGCCACCAATTTTACACAGTAGTCAAAAAGGTCATAAAATAAGAAAAAGAAAACAAGAACACAAAATTTTGTTTAACCTAATTCACTTTGTGCATGAAATTAATTTAATGCTCGCTATCTGGCTAAATTTTTGCCGCAAGCAATTAAATGTGGACTATTCATATAAATTTAATGACAGAAAATATATTCCCAATATCAGAAAAAGGTTTTATTTGATATGCATACCGAGTTATGCATTCAACAAGAACAAGACAAATTTCTTTTCTCCTCACTTGGCGGTGAGAGCTGTTGTCTCAATTTCTCCCTATGTTTCCGATAAAATAATATACTTCAAAACTGAAATGCTTTACTGAAAGGCCAAAAACTGAGCAAGATAATCATACTAATGAAAAAGATCTTAGTTTACATGATAATCACACCATTAATAACTTTTTATGGAATATATAAAATGATAGTAGTTAGATTGAATGAATTTAACTCTTATTTAAGAGGGAAACAGTTTTTTAACAGATTAATTTACTAAAAAGAGCAAAACTTTGTATGAACCTTTTGTTATTGTTCCTCAATCTCAATTCAATTTCACCTTTCTATATTCTATGCTAATTTGTAGTGCACAGATTCTTCAAATAAAGCATATATTGTAATTAAGAATATATAATATTAAAAGTACCCATGCATTGAATTATCTCAGAAGAGAAAATATGATTATTTGTTACCCGTAGAGATTAGGAGATCAATGGTGTCAGGATCAGGGTTCTCTCCGGTGACAGCGTAGTATCTACGTTGCACGGTGTCTCTGTACTCGTACGATATCTGCTCCCTCAGCTTATTAAAACTCTCCATGGACTGTTTCAGATTCTTGGTCAAGGCTCCGACCAGTGCGGTTCGGGTCCGGTGGGAGTACGAACCGGGTCCGCAGTCGGCCAAGGAGAGGGTGGCTTGGTTGGCGCGGTGGAGAGCCTCCAAGCGAGTCTTCACGAGCTTGGCTTTGGTGAGAGCAAGAGCGACGTCCAGGTCCATGCGAGACCGAAGCTCCCTAACGCCCTTGGGGCTGTGAAGCGCTTTTCCGTTTTGGTTTGAGGCACGGAGACTTAGGTGGAGACGCTCTAGCTCCTTCAGCTCTTCCTTCACCGATTCCACTTCTTCGAAGAACTTGTCCAAGTTCATGCAACTTTGTGTTATTTCAATCACGTGCTGCCCTTCTTGTTGTTGCTGCTGCTTTCCCTTCGAGAACAAATTCGATAACAAGTCGTTCATTCTATTGATTCTCTCCTTCGTGCCTTAAGATAACAACACAAGGTAAAGAAGAATATCTTTCTTATCCAACTCTAACAGGGTTGTCACTTTTGTATGATGCTGTCTGCAACAGGAGAAAAAAAAAGTCTTTTGAGATAACAGATTTGAATCACAAAATCGATCTTATTAACTGGAGCATAATTGTCTTTTACATAAGGTAAGAAGAAAGGACCGTTTTTTGTTCTCGTAGATTCTGTGTATGATAAGAGAAGGAATAAATAGTAAAAGGGCAACAAAAGAAGGAAAAGGATAGCAAATATATAAAAGGGTTGTGTTGTGTTATATAGGGTGGCTAATGTTGCATTGAAATTGAAGTTGGTGGTGGATACCCCCTTGTACTTGGAGAGGGAGAGAAACAGAAAAAAGATTATAATTATCTGGTCAAATGAATGTTCTTGGAAAATTATTATATACTTGAAGCATAACTAAGGAAGAAATAAACAGTAGAAGATGAGAGGAAGCACCCCAGAAATAGACGGAAGAGGGAAACGATTCGTTAATTAGTTGAGAGAAAGAGTTCTGGTTTACTACTTTAAGTCATTAACTAGTTATGTATTAACTGTATATAGTAGCTAGTTTGTCTGAAACTAGGGTTGAAGTGTGGTGTTCTACGGCTTGTACCTGCTGAACATGAAGCTTCCTATGAATACTTGGTCCTTCGTTTCATCGGTACGAGGCTTATCTAAACATAAACTTGTTTAGATATTTTTTTAGTGTTAATTCCTCTCTTTGAAGATAATGTTTTTTACATCGTATAATTAACGTGATGCTATATATTATAGTAGCAATTTCAAATTAACAGTATTACAAATTAAAAAAATAAGAACGACATTTATTAAATAAAAAATTACGACTCTCAAATTTTATAGTTTTTAATGAAATTTATCCCAACTAGTAGTTTTCTAAATTTAATTTTTTAAAAGTATTTTTATGTCTTCCTTTTTAAATATAATTTGAAAAAAAGAAGATATAACAAGTAAAATCATTTAAAAAACTATAAATAAAGAAATTGTGTTCCAAAGCGAGTCCCCAAAATGACATTTTTATAGAAAAAATTGAATTATATATATATATATATATATATATATATATATATTATATTCATATTTATAAATGGAGAACCTTTATTTAATGAAAATAGGCAAAAAAATTATTTTCATTTATTCTCTGGTCATTTATATTCTAAAAAGTTTATATTTTGGTAACATTAAAAAACTCATATTTTCTAATTTAAATTTTGAAGTTAATTAGTCGTGATTTTTCTTCAACGTTATTTCGTTTATATTTTTAAGTTAATTTATTATTCAAATTTTATATCGTATTATTGTTTTTATAATCATTATTTTTATTACGAACTAGAACAACTAAATATCTTGAGATTTACTTCATTGATTTGACTTCATTTTCAAAAGTCAGTGTATAATATATGATTTTTATAGTATAGAGATATAATTAAAATGTTACTCGTGGATATAATTTTGAAAGAAGTAGTTTTTCTTACTAAGAAATGACAAAAATATATGAAAAATGAAAAAAGAAAATACAGATAACAAAGAAGATGAAAATGTATAATACTAAAGATTGGTCTTAATAATATTTATCATACATCAAAACATTTTGTTGAATTATATGCTCTATAAGGTTCATAACAATAATTATATTAAAAAATAACAGTTTTATTTATTTTTAAGTACAAAATTATTATAATTAAATATTCCATATCATTATAATTAAATGTAAATGGAATCTCTTTGAAACCAGAATAATTATAATAATTTTAAATTCCAATATTTTAAAAACTACTTTTTATGTACATCTTAAGTAATAAATATATTGAAAATATTCCTTTTAATGTATTCTTAAGAGATAATAATGTCAATAATACAATGCAGTCTCTAGGCAAACTCATGTTGGATTGTTAAATAAAAAGTTAAACTGCGATAAACTTCATTGGATTAAGATGAAAATTAGATTAAATCTAAACCTTAATCATATCTTAAGTAACATCTATGTATGTAAATTGAGAGCCCGTTACAAATATGAAACGTGCCATCTCCCTTTTTGTCCACACTGTACAGGTTAAATGTACATTCATAAGTAGCTAATACATAATAAAGTATAAAAATAAAAGAAAAAGATGGTTTGATATTATACTTAAATATTTTCTTATACGATTGACAATAAAGGCCAAACAGTTCTTACAGTAGCTAGTCATAGATTTTTAATGTCTTCAAATTTTATTTTCGTTAATTTTATTTAAATTTTACTCAGACAATTAATATGGGTTTGGTGTTTAATAATTTTCATACATATTAGAATAAATTAATATTAATTATAGTTAACTTTAAATATAATTATAAAAGAAATTTTTTTATCTTTTATATTTTAAATATAAAATCTCTAATATTAACATTAAAACATGTAATAATTAATAAGATATAATACATATTTAATTATATTAACAGAATTTAAACAAAGTAAAACTAATATAATTAAAGTGGTTTAAGATTATATTTCTTTTTATTAGCCTAAAAATAAGAATAAAAGTGTTCATACTTATTTTATTCAGTATATTTATTATTTAGTCTTTGAATTATAGAATGATATCTCTGAAACTTTATATTTACATACGGAACTTGACTTGTTTTGTACTCAAAATATTTAATTTTACAATTGGAGAAAAACATGTTAAATGTTTTAACAAAAAATATTAAAAAAATTAAATAGTGTTATATTTAAAAAATTGAAATTAATTATTAACTAAATCACTAAAATTTATTAATTTTGTGAAAAATTATTACATAGGATTATATCAAGTAATACGTGTGATTGGTCCAAGTGTACATGTTAATCTTTGGATTTTAAGTTTGAGCTCTACGTATAAAATGACTCTGACTATAGAAAAGTTACCACTGCATCATGTCAGGAATGTTCCAACTTTAAATAACTCTTTAATTCGTCCTAAGGGTTTGGATAACCATTCAAGATTGATTAATTTAACCACTAAAGCATAAGAAAATTTTAATGAATAGACTTGTACAACACAATATATATTACACCAAACAAAGTCATGATATATAATATATTATATATACATAAATATTAACATCAGCCCTATGATATTGATTTTTAGTAACTAGAGAATAAACCAGGTTTATTAATAAAAGACATTTATTACACTTATATTTCTAATGTATATAATAAATGACTATTTTTTTTATAAAATATTATCACTTTTAATCTTTAAATTAACTTTAAAAATGGTGGTATAGCAAAACTATATGTGTTATTTTCTTAGCTGGTGGGGTTATTTCATTTCATTATATATGTGCCCATATTCACACTGCTTTTGATTTTATTGTATTTACCAAATTTACCTTATTTTTCCATTTAAAAAAAGTTTGAAATCATTTAAATTTTTCATACATCAAGTGTAAAATTAAAAACAAAGTAACATATATTTATTTTAATTTACATAAAAACAAAATTAATTATTTATACTTTCATTGTGATAAATAATATTATATTTAATTAATACAATTTAAGAAAAACGCATTGACAATATAAAATAATTTGATATCATCATTCTATCAAATATTACCCTAATAAAATGGTTGAATTTTGTAAGAGCCTATAAAATTAATAAAGGGGCTTTGAGCCTTATGTGAGGCAGTCAGGCCCATCAGATCAAAGACACATGACTTTAGTAGGAGTCTTTCTCCTAAGTCAGCTTTCCACTTTGCAAACTTTTTTTTTTCTCTCTAAAAAAACTCATCTGCTAAATATTGCTCTGCCTTCTCTCTAAAATACCACCCTGTTGAACCGTTCAATTTTTGAATAGGTGGTGCTCAAACGTTCACCGCGTCAAGGGCGTAACGGACCGAACAGGTTCTACTTCAAATTTGTGGTAATTTCTAGCCTAAAAAGCTAATTCTATCACCATTGGGTGATTTATAGGGTGTCTTTGAATTTTGCTGTAAGGAGCATTATTTAGATCATCCCTGTCAAGTAAACTGTGAAGTTTTTCAGGTAAGGGGAGCTAATTATTTTTGTATGAATTTATTTTATACAAATATATGCAGGTTGAATGTTGAACTGGTGTGTTATTGTGAAGCTGTTCTACGATGTTAATTTTTATTGGATAATTATAACTGAGACTGTGGAATTGTGCTTAAATAATTTATGTTTTGGTGTTGAACTGGTACATGTGGCAATTATGTTTGTAAGTGTCTATGTTGAAATTAATCTGTTTTGGTTGAAATTGTTCTGGTTGGAGGGTTTAGGAGTAAGGGCTCTGTGATAGCATGTATATGGGCAGGTACTGTTTAAGTTACTGTAAGGGGAAGGGTGATATATATAATTGGGTATTTGATGTCTAGAACACTGTAGGACAATTTTAATAACTTAGATAATTAAATCATAACTTCTTAAAAGCCTTTCTTTGTTGGTAGGATAGAGGGAACTTAAAAACCTGAGTTGGCACATCCCTGATCATAGAGCAGCCCTGGCCTGGTCCAGTACGTTGTGACTAGTCACATGTGCTAGCGCCGAAGGTGGATGCATTCAGACATCTGAACCCTCCCCGGTGACCAATTGGGAGAAAGTAAGATCTCTACTATGATAAAAATTAGACAAGTAGTTTACCAAATAAGAACCATGATATATATATAT